AAAGTCAGAAAATGATGAAAAAAAAAAAGGAGTTCTTGGATATAGAATAGTTGGCCTGCTTTCATCTCCCCTTTTAATGTCGGTTAAATTGTATTTTTTGTCCTATTGGTTTAACATCATCAATTTTAGTTCCAAAATTTTTAACATTTCGTCTTTTGATCTTGTGATTAATACTTTGCTACAATTTCAAACTGTAATTTCAACAAATTGTCAAATCTAATGATTTTTTATTAGCAATTTTAATCTCGTAATTTTATATTTTGCTAAAAGTTGGAATATTTGGACTAAAAATATTATGGCATTAAACGAATCACTTTTGCCTTTAATGTGTGTGCTTTGTGAACTGTAAAACAAAATTTACATAATCTCTATATCATCATATGGTGTTTGCATTTTGGACCTATACATAATTCACCACTGGTTTGCAAAAAGGTTTGGACTAAAATGTAGTAAACTAATGAAGCAAAATAACACACAAAGGAGTGTATGAGTTATTGTAATCTGAGTCGAACTTAAATTCAATATCATTCAACACCACCAATTTACCAAAACTCCAATAATTTTTGTGAAATGAACAAAATAGGCACAAGTCTCCAACAAAAGGGGACTATATTCAGAAGACATAATTATATATATATTTGACAACACAAAACAACTAACACACACACACACTAAAAAAGGCCTAAACTTCATTGGAGACCAAATCCTCTTCCTCCCTACTCCATTTCCAGATGGGCACACAGTTATCTGCTGCTACCTCGATTTTCGCCACGTCATCATCTGCAGACCTTCTGAAAATCGCGATTTGTGAAGCAAAACCAGGATCAACTTCGCCATCACCACCAACTCCACTGAACTTGACACTGTAATTGTGCCTCGTTGCCAGGTCAGATGCCCAGTGCTCAAACTGAGCCCTCGTCCATTCGAACTTATGGTCGAGATTTCTGAATTTAAAGCTCTCTGCCTGATTTTTTTCGTTCGGGTTTTCCTCTTCACCTTGAGGAGTGGTACTTTTATGGAGAATCGCGTTGTATTCGAAATTTGGAGTGGAGATGATTAGAATTTTCGGGCAGAAAGATTTGAGGGCTATATCGCCAAATAAGCATGCATCCTCTTCCTCCATATGCTCGATTACCTTATATAGATATATATCATGCACAATATTCGTTTAAAAGGGGTAGTGGAGAAAAAAATCCGAAATCGAATTTAGTAGCTTTTTTTTTTTTTAATTACAGACTACTGATATTCATTAGGCAGCTCGTGTATCGATTATGCATGGGCAAATCATAATCCAAATGGAGTAAAATATAGTACCTCCAAGCAAGTTGCAATGTCAAATCCACACAATTGGGAATCTATTTTTGTGATGGAACCATCGTATAGTACTGCTGATTGGATTTTGCAACTTGGCTCTTTACAATCTACCAACCTGGTCAACTTAGTGTGGAGTGACTGCACGGGAGAGAAATTAAAATAAATATCATTCGAATTATTCCCAATCAGTTTGAATAATCAGAAAATAAAGTTTGCTAATAACTTTGGCTGCTTTTGCGAGAGCTCGCTTTGAAATATCGACACCGGCAATTTTCTCGAGAGAAGTAGGATAAGATAACAAAGAATCCAACAAACTTCCCGAACCACAGCCCAAATCGACCTGCAATACCAAAAGAAAGCAAATCATTTTCGAGCTGTTCTTATACTGCAAAACACAATTTTTGAAGGGGTACCGATTTTATATATATACCAATGAGGCCGCTGAAGATTCTTTTATTTGCTGTACGGCAAATTCGACACGCTGCTTTGAGAGAGGAGGGCTGAACAGAGCTTGCTCCATTCGATCTTCCATTGGCTCTGTTACTAGCAGAAGAGTTACACGGTACTCCAATTTGCAGTTTCCTACCAGGAAAAAAAAAAAATCATAGGATTTGAAGCATGAAATGAAGTTTTTTTCATTTTGGCGTTAAACTTACTTGATGATAACAATGAAAGGGTAGATACAGAATCACGAGCTGCAGCTATAATGAACTCGGTGGGAAAAAGCTCGACCCGAAAGCATGCGGACTGACCAACAGCCATCTGTACAACTGCTTCTTCAAGATGAGGCAAAACTGCTTCATTGCCGATCTCAAACTCAAACTCTTCACAGCTTTCGAGATGTTCTCTCGTGCAGTCTCCTTCGACAAACAATGAAACACTATAACTTATGCAACCCAAAGAGCCATTTGATGGAGTAACTCCAGAGTTTTCACCTCCGATTTCAATAAAAGATGGCTCAGCTAACTCTGAATTGTAATCGCAAACTTGAATTCCAAAGTTATTATGCACTGTATGGCAATACACAAACTCCTCATACAAGAAATCAAAAGTAAAGCTAATGTCAAGCTTATCGGCTAATAACTTCAGCTTCTCAAACGATATGTCCGGATATTCAATAAAAGTGCCGAACCAGTTCAAGACTTTCAAGCTAGTGCTTTGCATGGCATCAATCGGCTTCCTATGAGATTCGTTCGGCGAGCATTGTAAGATCAAGTTTTGATTTTTGGAATATATTTTAACTTCGCAACTAAAAGCTCCAATGGATTCCACCGAGTCCCCAGTACTTGAATGACTAACTTTCAATTTTTTACATGATCCAGGTAAATCCAATGATGAATTCGATAAAGTGTTTTGACTGGAAAAAACAGGCTCAGGCAAATGGTGAGCTCGGCAGAATGCAAAAAGTATGTCCCTCGGGAAAGAACCCCTCCAATTGCTTTTTGTCGTGTATGTTAATGGCAGCTTAGCAGCAAGTATTGCGTCTCGTGATGTTTGGTATATCCCACTGGGTATCTTGTTGATAAGCAACCTTCATACACCAGGTTTCCAA